TAACTGGACCGATATGTTATTGTATTTTATTTTATCTATATTATTGATAGGTACTAGTATATTATTCAGTATTCTAATATTATTTAATTGGAATGTCCAATAAAATTAAAGATTTAAAATAAATGCCATAATCAATATACGTATATAATTTAACATTGTCACGCTATTATTTCACATTTTAATTAGATATAAAATATACAGTGTTATTAATTATTTAGGTTCTTATTTCTCCATATAATAATTAAATGTAGGCATATCTAACTATTATTTCTAAGTATAGGTATAACTTGTAGGTAGGTAGGTCTTTACTCTATTTTGTTTTCCCCAAGATTAAAAATTGTTCAGCTTGCCACTGATAAATGCATTAATGTAAAATAATGTTTGTGATTTATGATTATTCTTAGAGTATTGGCATACAACAAAATTATAGATGATAATATTTTTGAGGGTTTGGTATATAGGTTTTACCTTATAATTCTAGAATATGATCATAGTATAATCAGACACATAATATATACCTAATATGAGACCGATTTCCGTTCGCAAAATTACCGGATTACTCGGGTAACAAAACAACTGTTAGGTATGTAATATGTATAATGTTTACGTATTCAACATAATAATATAAGTATTTTTCAATGTTACTAAATATTTACGAAAACAACAGAAAAATGGAACAATCCTATGTCTCTCAAACGAAGAGACGAAGTTGTATGAAATCGGAAAATCGCCTCATAATTTACTATAGGTCAACACACTAGACACGTCATGTCCATCTCATGAAAAAAGAGCCACCGAGAACATGCCAAAAATGCGGCTGTCCAACTTCAATCAAATACATTATCACAGAAATACAGATTGCAGGGACACACTGCAATAATAAGAGGTCAGAAAAAAATTCGACATCCCCGAGCACCTTCACCTTTATTATTTATGAACGATATTAAATTGTAGAATTTAGTTTTAAGTGTTCGTAACGCAAGCCAATAGTCCTGTTATTGAGGCTTCAACTTTAATAAAAATAAATATATTATATTCTACAAAATAGTACATAAACAACACTAAAATAATATACGGTACAAGTTTCAAAGCGCACTTTGATATTATTCTCATTCCTATTGTGCTTATAGTTATTTTCTTTCTTTTCAGCGATATTTCATAGGGGCTATTTAGAAACGAAAATTATTATATTTAATGTACTGCACACTACGACAAAAAGTTGTTTAAAAATATTAAGATTAATTATATTGTGATAATTAACCATTTACCATGTAAGTACCTACACAATTTAGCGTTATCGTTGTTGTAAAAAAAATACCGTTGTTTTTCGTTGTACATATCAAATGACTGAGAACGAACCTGAGATTGCGCACGTAATTCCACATTACCATGATACCATGGAAGTTTTATTTTCAGATATTTCTGAATAATTAAAACAATAGTTTTATGTTGATGATGTGTGTTAGTTGTGGCAGTTTGGATTTTTTACGACACCACACCAGTCAAGTATATAAAGATTGGTAAAAATATAGCTAGCTCGTGCAGTGAAAAGTGTCAACCGTCAAACTCTGAAATTTGCACGGTATTTATTGGAAGATTTATTGACGACTATCAAAGATATTACACAATTATAGAAGATTTTCCAGCAAAGTTAAAATTTGTCGTGAATCGTGAGTATAGATAAATATATAGATGTCTTACTAAAATATTGCTTTAACATGGTATAGGTACCTACAAACAATTAACTATAATATTATTATAATTTTTAAAAAAATACAATTTTAATTGTCTGATAAGTAAATACACTTATAACGTTTACATAAAAATAAATTACTATTTGCTTTATTATGTTTTTATGTTAGTTATTATTGAAATACATTTGTTTTTACTATTTTAATTAGGTTGTTATTACATAATAATACATTTCTAGATTTTAAGATAATTTTATTAGTTTTAAAATCCCGAATAATTTAAAAAACTTTGCTTTTATCTAGTTATAATTTTCGAAAATAATTTATTTATTACCTACTCTAACAAATTTCAAATTATTTATTATGTTAACTTTTTAAGTATTTCTTATAAATTTAAACTTAAATTTAACATTTTGTTTTTGCATTACTTAAAAATAAAAAATTGTCTGTTTGTATGGCTAATTTGTGTTAATATTTTGAGTTTTAACAGTGCTGCCTGCTGAATTATTTCTTTACTTTTGCAATTATAAGTACATATAGGTATTTATAAATACGACTTTTAAAGTATGTTCGATAGAGTATCTATGCAATGCATTCAAACAAATGTTGAAACATTTTTCTTGTGTTGCGTACAATATTTGTACAAATAAAAGTTAAAACATTATTTCGAATAGTATCAAAAGCATTATAATTATTAATTTGTGATGTTGCATAATTATAAACCGTAATTATTTTACATAAATTAGATGATTAGTAGTGACTATAGTCAATGTACTGTAGTGAATGTAATAGTATACATTTATTTAATTTAAATTATTCAATTCGATTAATTTAAATATTATAATACGATGTGTTATAATTCAAAACGTGTATTTTTAATCCTGCTTGTAGGCTGTAGCGAGTGTGGACTATGCATGTTCCAAGACGAACCTAATATATTATAGGTAATATATCACACTTAAGTTCACGAGTTAGGTGTATTTTTAAAAATGGAATGTGACGATCTCACTATCTCAGTTATTAATCTATTACCAATACGACAATACGTACCACGTACGTACATAAAATACCATTGATTATGGGCTATATGCCTATTTGAGATGGATTTCGTGACAATAATTACCATCCATTCTCAGAGATTTTGTAAACAAAAGTGTGATTTAGACAATTTAGTTTAACAATTTAGCAGAACTGTCACTATTGTGAGTTGTATTTTATTTGAATGACACTAGATAAATAATTATGTTGAAATCAACGTGCATGATTTAAGAGGACACTCGCATTTGTTGTCTTCGTATGACAAGTGCATTATATTATGGAAAATTTATGCTCAGCTGCAGTAGTTATCGTTTAGCTCCATCATATTTTTAAAAATTAGGGCGAATCAACTTATTATGAAAATTAATGGTAAGAAGTAAGAACAAAAGAACAATATTTGTGTTTGTATGTCAGTTATTTTACGATAAATCAGTTATTAAATGAGTCATGAGCATTTTCAAATAGTGCTATTTTATATACGAAAACTTGCTAAGAAATAACTATCGTAACAAACCGACATACGAATACAGATAATTTTGTTACCATTAAGATTTAAGTTTCATAATAGGTCGATTCAATCTCATTTTTAAAATAAAGAAGCTAAACGTTAACTGTTGAGCGTAAATTTGCGTTAAATGTTACGCACTATTGTAGGTTAACAAATGCGGTAGTCCTCTAATCTTTCAAATGAATTTATTTAAATTTTGGGTTTTTTTTTATTATTATATATTTAAAGACTATTTTAAAATATTTAATATTCACATGATTTTTTTCATTAAAGAAATTTTCTTTTTTAATGGAATTTTTTGTTTTTACTAGCAAAATACTATAATATGATTATTTGAAAATTATATTAGTAGTTAATGTATTATCATTTATGAGTAAATAATAACTAATAATTTTACATTGGTATACAATACTAAATATGACATAAAGAGTGTGAATCATCTGCAAGCATGCTCATTTCCTATTTTAATATAATTATACATTTTTTCAGATTATTGACATTTTATATACTACTAGTGATACTAACTTTTGTTTTTCAAACTAGTACCTACCCCCTATTTTTACCGTAAATTAATCAGTGGAAAATTTTTTTGAAATTGTTGAAGTACCTACTTTATTCAAAATTCGAAAACAAAAAGAACTATTGATAAATTCATATTAATTACTTAAATTATCAAATTGTCATAGCTCCCATATATTCCAAATTCATTATTATGGATCTAATATCCTTAGTACCTACCCGTACAAAGTTAAATGACTCAAAAATTATTCATTCAATTTTTAATTTCGATACTTCATTCTTCAGAAAAATTATCCGTTAAATACTTTCCAGTTGAAAAGAGGGTTGTCATTTTAAAAACTGTAGTTTGTAACGCTATAGACCACTCCTTACGTAGTATGTATAAAATCTCGAGAATTTGAAATGATGGTCTCTAAATATACATAAAAATTCCAAGAATTTGAATAAATAAATTTTAAATTTAAAAATGGGGACGAGTATAATTGGTGAATCACCTTGTAGAATATACCTATTTTATAATATATGTAAGACTGTTGTCAAAAACTACTCGTTCTAATTTCAATTTCGATTTTAAATAGATCAACAACCGCACCAAAATAATTAAAAAAACATTAAATTAATAATTTACTATAAAAGTATAAAAAAGGGAGATTATATCGATATACTTCAAATTACCAAAAATATTTAAGTATTTTAAAATGTGGTCTTTAAGTATATTTAAATATTCCAAAAACCAAAATTTAAATTAATACATAAATTATTATTAAATAATTTAAGGATACAATATTTATGAGTATTACTTGTATTCGATATACATTGCTGGATTTATTAAAATACGAAATTGAACAGCCGAGATTAATAATTTTACGTTAACAGGTGGGTACATCGTACATGTACCGACATCAAGAATATTAAAAATTTTCAGTAGCTAATAATATATAATATAAAATACGTAATTATTGTAATTTATCTATATAGGACATAGGTAGTATACGAAAGTTGAAATTTTTGAGATAATTTAGGTTTTAGGGTTTTTTTGACGTGTTTTGATCAACAAAATAATCATACGTGACGTTTTGAAAACTCAACGCCTACTGACAATATTATGGACATTTTCACTTTACATATTATTATTATTATTATTGTTATTACTTGTCAGTTTGTCACAAAGTACCCTTATACAACTATACATTTATATATTTATCATAATAATGAATCTTGTGTAATATGAAATACCGACTCACCTTCGGGTTGACTGCGTAGTGGTGTTGTTGCGTCCTGATCCATCTGGATACGAGGCTGTCCCGGACCGAATGCGCCAGCGCGTAATAGTAATCCCGGATGGTGGCTACGTTTCTGTCCTTGACCAGCGTGAAGTGCAGGTGCCGGTTGAACGTTTTCTTCATGGCCACCACATCCTCGACGTCAGCGATGGACTTGACGCTGATCTGTTTGCGCTTTTCCACCTTGGGCTTGCTGATCTGCTGCACCGTCGGCATGTTGACGCTTTTTCAGTACAATCTATACCCGTGGAAGGTTAGATGGTAATATGTTTAGATGAGGTACACGTGTGTGTGTGTTTTAAACAAGAAGAATCGCGATATTTACGATCAAGTGCAATTGCAAAATGACGTGGTCTCGAAAGATTTTCTTGGGAGGTTTTTGGAAGACGTGCCAGGTCGTTGCCGTTGGCCAGTCGCTGATGTACTGTGAACTGTGAAGGCACACGAACAGTTGTGTCAGCGTTACGGCTTCGCCGTTAAAAGTTTCGGAGATAAGAGAGGGCCCGATAAACCTACAGAGTAATAATACTACTTCAACCACTTATGTCCTTCTTATTCGTCTCGTCGTGATAAAACGCTGCAGCCAACGCGCATAGAACCGATAAAATTTATAATATCATTATTTATTATGCAATTTATTAATGTATAAACATATTATATAGATACCGATGTATGGTAAATAACTGGCCTAGCTTCAAAGTACAATATTATAATTATAGGGCATATAGCTGGCTGTGGATTTACTATTGGTATAAATTCTATTAAAGCGCCTGAATCCGTATGCTAAACATTTTCCTTTGGGCTTTGGAAGTTATAGACGTCTATGGTGTATACGGTTAAAATGATTTAATGGAAAGAATAAAAACATGTTTTCACATTAAAATCAGTATTCCTATTAGGTATTATTAGATAACACTTAGATTTATTAAGCACATTATTGTTGGCACTCGGCTTGTTGACATAAACACTAAAACATCACAATACCAAATCGTCTCAGTTTAAGTATCAGCTGGGTTTTCTATTTTTTTTTAACAATAACTCACCTACCTATTGCCAGGGGCGTAATTAGAGGGGGGATAGGGGGATAGATACCCCTAAAATTTTTTTTACTGCTAAAATTTTGATCAAAGTATTGGTAATGACCATTAATGTTTGCTAAAAATGTATATCTCCCCCCAATCTAAATTCCTAATTACGGCACTGCCTATTACTACACTTTTTTTGTGTGCAGTACGTCCAAAAGTACGCTATGCATGCACGTTGCAGTACAAAAATTAAAAAAAGTACTTGTATAGTAGATAGTTATTAATTACTTAATTATTACTGACTGTAAATAGGGACATAATTGGCGCTACTCAAACGTCATACAAAATATATATATCTTCTAATTTGTACTAAGACAGAGTGAGACATCCTATGAAATCAAACATAACATTTTTTCTTAACACAATGTTTGAACTTTAAGTACTACAGCAATACATAAGAAATATAAGAAGTTGATATTATGGAAAACAATTGAGACTTTACTTTAAAAATCAATAATAGTACCTATCTTACGAAGAAAAATCAATACAATTGTTTAATTATTCTAAAATACTATAAAGGCTCTTGAATAATAATAATTATAATAATTGGTATGTACAATACATTTAGTACTTTAATAGTTTAATCTTTGTTTAAAATGTTGAAATGACTCAGATTAATGTACTCTAAATAACTTAGTATGTGTTTTCAATGTATAGCCGAGCATATAGGCATATATTTTAAATATTATTAGGTACCATCAGCATTCAAGTTCATAGTTCAGCATTAAAGTTCTTAGAAATCGTATTCATAGTGGTGATTGGTGATTATGTATATTGTGTTGACCCATTGACTTTGCACAGGTATAGATTAAACAATATAATATATTATCTAATTTTAGATTCTGAGCGTGGCAATGAATGTATTGATTTAACAATGATGAGTGTTTTTTTTTTTTGTCTGGCTATGTACGATAAGTAGTAGGAACGATGTGATTGATTTTCAATTTTGCCTGTTCGTACATATGATAGGTCAAAATAGAAAATTCCAAATATTTTACAAAATAATCGAAAAAAAAACAACAACAAAATAGATACATGAAATAACCATCAAATAGTTGTATGAACACTATGAACATATTCTGTCCGTCATGATAAGATGTCAGGAATATATTTACTCTTTTTGAGCTATTTATAGGCATGAGAATTTTTTTTTTATAATTGATGATAAAAATATTTTCAGTAGATCAAAAAGCTTGAAAATCAAATACAAGGTTCCTCGTAAAAAGTTAAAAAAATTAAATACGTATAAATATTTTAATATAATATGCAATATTATCGACAAAAATTAAATCAACTATATTTAATATAATTTATAAATAAAATATTCTAGGCTGCCTAATATGATAATTGATAAACTATAGGTACTATTATAACTTTTAGTAATATTGGCTGACTTCGGCCAGATTGTCAGAAATTTTTTTTTGTACACAATGGTATCATTGAATTCATATTTATCACATCCATCACAGTTTTCTTTACCTAGGTACTATTGTTTTATAGTAAATAATTAATAAATTGATATGGAAAACTAGTGGAATTTTTCAGAATACAACGTAGTTAAAATATAATTTTTATATTATTATTGAGTATTTATAGTTGATTTATTTTTCTCAATTATATTAGTGCAATTATGGGTTTATTGTATTATTCTATTCCATAACAAAAAGTTTACGAAAACTGATACTAAATTGTATTTGTTCGTTATTAGGTACCTATAATAATGCCGGCATATTGTAATGGAACTAATCGTGTACAAAATAATTTTATAATAATAAAATATATCATATAATCAAACTTTCCCAAGTCATTAATATGATTACGTTTTTATTGATAAAGTTTAAAATAATAATTTTAATTGAATTTAAATTATTGGGTTTTTATGAGTGAAATTGCTATATATATATATATATAATAAAGAAATTTCGAAGTTCTAGATACCTACTTATTTGGTAATTATTAATTGCATATATTATAATATAAAATTATAATTTCTATTCCTATAGAAACAGCTATAATATTGTTATTGTATTTATAAAACCTTTTTCCCTCATTAGTGAAATTATAACTTAAGACTTCCAAGACATAATAGTCCTAATGAAGGTACAAATCGAATGCTTCTTGAACTGAGAATTATTATTTTTAATAAAAAATATGAAAAACTATATAGTGAGAACTGAGAAGACAAACTTCAAAAAATTTTAGGGAGAAACGAAATAAATCTCGTGAATATAATTCTTTAAACGGCCATAATATATTTTTATTTACAAAAGTGAACGATAAAATAATCATGGAGACGGCTCAATTATAAAGTTATTATAAAACGCCAATTATTATAAACTATGCGTCAGATACATGTATAATAATTTCATTCTGAGATTTTTATTTTTGTGAATAATATATTATAATATTATTATTATAATACTCACAAAGTCACAACTATTTCAAACAGAAGGTAATATAATAAATAAAACTATAGTTATGAATATATACATTTTGTGAAAATTGATTCGATTTAAAAAAAGCTGCTGTCATTATTACAATAGAGGTATGTGCACATTTGCTCAGTACTTGTTTTATATTTTGAAACTGAAGCGTAAATTATAAACATTTACACTGTTCGACATACCGAATATGAAAATATTGTTTACGCACGAATGTATATTGTAGTATATTAGTATAGGTGTTATTCGTATACAACAGTGTAAATTATTGTGCCTAATATATTGGACGACTTTTTTGTCACATAAATCGGACGTATTGTTTTTGAGTTCAGTGAGTGAATCGTAACATATATATCTATATGGTGGCCTCTAAACAAAGTATATTATTCTATAATAATATTATGGTATTGTAATTTGTAAGTAGTATGTCGTATAATATAATATGATGGTTTTCGATTTGTAATGCCAAGGTTAACCAAATTATGGGTATATTACATTGTTGATTTCGATACTGTTAAATCTTGACTGCACGTAAGTTATATTTTATACAATTTGAATATTATTAATTTATATAATTATTAAATATAGTGTAGATAATTATTCATTGTTTAATAGGTATCCAGTGTTCCATATGTTTATCTTATCATCCCAAATATTTCCACACGACAAACGATTATTTTCTAGTTGGGTTTTTTTTAACAGTAATATTTTTATATAGGAAAGAAAATGACCGTTTGATGACATACGGCGAATATTAATTATAATATTATGTTATCTTATTTTAATTATATACGAGTATAGTATTAGTATACATTGCTGCAATTACTGCCATCATTCAAAAGTTGAAAATAATATATTTTTTTTTCTAAAGAACCCATTTTGTAGTTATGATTTTTTAAATTAGTTGGAAAAAAACTTACAACTATGTATACGTAGTTTGCAGTGGACAACATGAAGATTAACCGGAAATGCCATCACGGCGGCGACGATTACGACGATGTCTGTTTCATGTCAAAAGTGAACAAGGGCGCTCAGAAAATCATGATCGCGATGCCGGATCAGTTAGCAGTGGTGTTCATGTGGTCCCTGTTGACGGGAGTGTTCATCGTTTTCCTGATGGTGGCCACGTGCGTTGTTCTAAGGATCGAATCGCCACCATTTCCGTCGGCGGCTCTGCAGACGTCACGCTGTCCGACCGCGTCCAGACATCTGCTGGTGGCCAGGCTGGACGTCGGCCCCGGTGACGTGCACTACGTTTTCTTGGACGACGACGACCGCATCCCACGGCTTTCGGCTTGTTCGCTGGAGTCGGCTGTGGACGCCGGTTCGGGCGACGCCAGCCGCGGTCGCGTAAACGTGTTCGTCGTCGGTGGCATCAAATGGGTCTCGAACCTCAATCGAACACTTTCGGTAAGTGTTCCGTGTCGTAATGACTAAAATTTAGTATATGGGTCGGTCCGATAGTACCTATATACTTAATGCTAAGGATGGGGGGGGGGCGTCTTGAAGAGTGATTTAATACGTCTTTTCCCATTCTAGAAATCTCAAATTTCAATTTGGGTATTTTATTGAAATTATGTGGGGCTTTGTCGGCATGATCCACATGATAATTTAAAATTTAAATCATTTCGACCTATTTGATGAGATGCGTTACTACTACTATTATTATTATTATTATTATTATTAGGTAATAATATTTGGCAAAATCTTTTTTACTTCGAAAGTCCAATACAAAGTCAAATAATAATAAAATATAAAATCGAAATATCAAACCCACAAAAATATTATCCTTTTATAATTTTTGTAATAGTTGCTTATACTCTATGATAACTAAAAAATCATAAAAACCGATTTTCGGTGAAATAGTTTTATTTATGTTGCACGTGGGTCTGAGAGAGAAAACAAATATTGCGCTGACATCATCTTAATTAATATTTAACTAAATGTTATATATTATACATATCAAATTGTGTATCATAAAAATCATGTGAGGACTTAAGTTAAAAATAAAGTAAAAATTAATTAAGTAAAAATGTTTATACATTTTTATAAATAAAGTTTGTTGTTTTAGATTTCAGACATTTGTACATAATAATAAATGATAGGTAGACGTATACTTATTATTTATGTGTTATGTGTTATTAGTATTTATATCTTTTATTACTTAGTTATTAAATAATATAGGTACTATAAATAATACAATTTGAGTTTTACATCATCATTCTTCAATCTTCACTAAACAAAGTCTGGACACCCGGCAAATGGCATAAGATAGTTGATGTTGTTCTACAGCAGTGTTCTGTTTCTATAGTGAAATTAATATATTGTTTTATTAAAAACGTTTTAATGATACTATACAATCTAAAACAATTAAAATAATTATCATGTTATGACTTATGGTCATTTGTTTTTAATCTTTTTGTAACCTTATAGGTAGTTACTATGCAAGGTGACATTCATTACTATTATATATTTTTAAGAACATTATTCAATTATTTTCTTAATATAATTTAGATAAACAAGAAGACTGTTTCCCAAAAATAGTTATACCTAATTGTATCAAATTTAAAAAAAATACATATTAATATATTAGGTACCACATATACTGATATTGTAAATTATGTAAAATATAAGAACATTTGCCAATAAACGATGGCGTTTAGTGTCCGCAGGCATATTAATTTAAACCTTACCAACCTTGCGTACAAATTAAAATTAATTAATTACATATTTTTTAAAAGGGAGAAGGAACTATATTATATTACATACTTAATACTTACCATCTAAAATTGTAAAAATATTATGTAAACTTCACTCGATTTTATATAGGTTATGTCACCAAATAGGTGATTTTCATTTAAACTTCAAATTTAACTGAACATCTCATTATTTTGTTTCATAATCTTGTTATAGCCATTATAGTTTATATTAATGCGGGGATATTTAGTAGCGACTAGTGACTAATGTCCAATAGTATATGAAATATAGTAATAAATAACTATATATCCATATAATTTTACTTATATGTATATAAGCCATACGTGTGAAACGTGAAATGGTCTTCAAGATTAAAAATTTGAGCTATATAATCTGTTAGATCGACCTACTTTGATTAGAAATGCACTACTATTCCCTATCGCAGAACTTCGTCCTTCGAACGATATCCCTATTAATTTTTATCATTGTATGCCTACATGGCTAAATCTATATCTATGACTATAACATTTACTTCTTTTTTTTTTTTGTCAAAGAATTGGTATTTTATAAATTACTAAAATTAGAGACAACCTTCGACTTTTGAGTGACTAAGAAAATAACTGATAAAATCAATCATTTAAACTAGAACTAAAGTATTATAATACAGAGTACCTATAGGTAGAAACGTTTCGTTAAGTTTTAACTTCAAAGGTTAAGGCACAAGGGTCATACTATATTGCCTATAGGTACAACTGTACACCTTCCCAGATAGCATTTTGTAATGATAATATTATGTAGTATTATTAAGTAGATATTATGTATAGTCATATATATGGTATATAATATATTCATTGAATTCTAGTTCACTATTTGATAACCACTGGAGTTATGTTATTTTTTGTAATAATTTGGAAGACAAATTTAAAAATATACATACGTTGTAGCCACTTGTTGGTGAAATCGAATATAAATCTATTTATGAAAAGTTTTCTATTTCGTGAAATATCACTCAAACAGTACATCGTGTAATACACAATAATATAATAAATACCTTCTATTAATATTATAGCATAACCGAACTCCGAAGCATATAACTTCTACTTAATTATTTGAATTTATTTTAAAAATCTGGTGGTATTATGAACTGTCAACATAATAACTTGGTCTTCTGATCAGAAAATTTCAACTGTCCGCCGATTTTCGATACTCGAATAATTTCTTGCACTATATTTCTGTGTTCGGACAAAATCCCGCCAAAAATAAAAAGGAAAAAGTTTTTAAAAAGTTGTTTTGTAAATATTTCGTTTGTCACGCCTGCATTGAAAGTTTCGTTTTCGATAACGGTTGAAGCGTTGGAAAGCGACCTTTTTCAGTCCACCGGGCGGTAAAGTGGAAATCCACAAAGACTAAAAGTGCTGGGCGATCACGCGAGAAACTACTTCATAACCGGACACTGAAATCTATACCAATTACCAAACACAAACTTTTGGTTACATCTTATATTCGTATTATAATCTCCTTGCATGACTCGTAAACATTTTTCTTTCGTTGAATAATCTGGTTGGTGCAGAGATCCCTGCATAGTGCATTTACCTTTGCCGCGATCAATAGTGATTACTATTGATTATAGTGATTACATTTTCTTATTCTTATTTTATTTTAATATAATAATTATTACTTACATTGAAATCTATACCACGGTCCTTACAAGACATATAAACTGTTGGTTACATCTTATATTCATATAGCGTTTTATATGTATACATTGTATATGTATATACTATATATATACGATATACCTATTTATTTACATACCATTGCAATGTCGTATTCTAGGTCACTTTGTACAATCGGGTAAAAATGTTCATTTCAGAACGCAGACCCAGTGTCCCGTACACTTTTTACTTTTATATACAGAAAGCATATATTGTAAATATAAGTTATATAGGTCGTAAGTAATAAGTTGTAAGTATATATACGAGTATATATATAGTGTAAATTATTAAAATGAAAAATTCAAAATAAAATACAAAGTCAATTAAAAATGTTTTAAAATATAGTGTATTAACAAGTAAAAATAATCAAAGTTTTTTAATTAATTGGTTAGATAACAGCCAAATATTACTTGGTGCTATAATATATATTTATAAATTAATTTAGGGCAAGGAACTTGATGACCTAAAAATCTTGAAATTAACAAAATAATCAAATATTATTATAAATTATAATATTGTATTATTATTATGAAAAGTTATGTTAAAAGGTAGATTAACAATATTACGTACAATACCTGTAAATAATAAATAAGTCAAAATGACAAATAAAAATTATTATGGATACCTACGACCTACGTAATAACCCATGATTGCCTCAATGCCTCATATTTGGAATGTAGGTACTCTTAAGATACTCTTAAATTTACCAAATAATATTTAAACTTAATAACATGGTCTGGTTATGACTTTAGACTTGTTTATTTTATATATTATATACTTTATATGTATATAACAGTAAAAAGTGTCTGCGCGTTCCTCAATCTAATATGTTTTACCTAAAGGTACAAAATGTCAGCGTTTTGCAATCTTTCTTTTTACCCGATCGTTCAAAGTGTTCACGATATGCATTTTAAACAATAGATCGTACAAAGTGACCATTTACCCAATGTTAGGTATTTTTCTGAAGTTGATCAAATACTCCAATTAAATTATAATATTCGGATACGTTCGCGATCGGTCTTTTCTCCAATACTATATTTATTTATAATTTATAATTTATTTATAATGATTAACGCCAATCGGCTTTTATATTACCCATTAATAGGTAATATAATATGATACTTATGTTTGGCACACGGAAAAAAAATTGGTTTTTTAAACAGTTGGATAATTTTCAGTTGGCGCAATATTTTTTTTAGTTATATGAAACAATGTGTTTAGTTGAGAGTACTAAAATGAATTAGTTAAAAATTTAAAGTTACATCAACTTATTTTATAGTAATTTCAACTATATAAAAAAGTAACTAAAATTTAACCATATAAAATGGTTGATGTGCAAATATTGAATAGTTAAAGCAACTATAATCAATGTTAAAATAATTTTAACTATATAATATAGACTATAGTTATGCCTTATGCCAACGGCCAGTTGGTGACCAGTTGTCAGTTGATGACCCCCCTCCCAATATTTTGCTCAGATTACATACATTTAGAAATTTAAGATCAGTTTTTTTCCAATAATATTTTAAATCACCCCGCCCCAATTATGTTTTGAATACTCCGTTGTCATTATACTGTTTATCTTATTATAGTATTATACCTATTATTCCAACTATTATTTTATGGTTATTCTAACTAAATTGTTCAACTTATTAATTTTAGTACTCCCAACCATACATTTATTGTGTCACTATATTAACCTGAGATTATGGTTGGCCTGACCATTTAAACAGTTGTATCAACTGCTATTTTTTTTCTTTGCATGGACACTATTTACCTAATAATAATTGTATAAATGTTTAATGATTGTTAAATTATTGTTAAATCATTGTTATTTGTGAAATTTCGTATAGGAGGTGTCGCTGTCGTCGACCCTGACTCATATGAAGTCCACGTACGGCCACGGCCGGTTGAACGTGTCCCACGTCAGTCTGGAGGAGTGTCTGGAATGTTCGCCGTTTCAAGGCATGGACCTAAGCGGTCGCCCGGCGCTCGCCAAATTCGTGGTGCAGCTGGTACTGCTGTGGCAGTTCGGCGGCACAGTGCTGGACGACGGCGTGATGGTGATCCGCAGAGACGTGTACCGAGCGACGGGCGACGCGGTCGAGTACGGCGACCGTACCATCAGCTCGCGGGTCGCGTGCCATGCGTTCGTTTACAAAGCGATGCTGAGCGCCAAGAGGTACGCTCTCAGCGGCGAGCCGTTCACGCCGGACACCGGCCGGACGATAGTGCACGACTCGGCCAACGGCGTGGACGCCCGACCCGTGGCCGACTGGGTAATGTGCCGCGGTGGAGTGGTGGTTGACGAACGCTGTTATTACGCGGAGGAGATTGCCGAATTGCAGGACTATCGTTGTCCCGTAGTGGTCGACGAACCGTGGTCGCCGAGGTTCCAGCAAGCCACCCACGCCTCGTCTCCGAGGTTCCAGGAACCCACCCAGGCCACAACGACAGACGCAGTCGAGGACGAGCAAAACGAACATAACACAGCAGACGACGAGCGAGTTTCCACGGTTATCGTATAATTTAAGTGTAGGTCTGTAATATATAGTATTATGGGAAAAAAACGGGGTGGACGCTTATATTATATAGGTAGGTAGGTGCCTAGATAATATATAAAATTATAAAAGACAGTCCCTTTTGTTTTAGATTTTCATTACAAGTTCCAATAGAAATGAAAATTGTAAACAACGCTATTATAAGAGTGTTCAAATAAGACTTATACAAAAATATATATTATCTTTATACGTTTTGGAATTCAATAACTTGATCATGATACACATTACACCGTACAGTCAAAATACTAAAAAATGGATCGACGAATAATAAACCTCTGTAAACGTTCTATCTTCTATAAATTATTCGGGACGACTAAAGTCCCATCACGAATCAATAAAATATTTGGCTAAAGAATAATATTGAAATATAAAGTATATTTTATTCAAAAAAGCACATAATATAATATGTATACCTTATTTAGGTTTTATAAAATATAAGATAATATTAGAGATGCATTTTCACACTAGGTACTTTGTCTACATTCATCGTTTATTTTCACCAAAGGATAGAACTGTAGAAGATATCCTTGAAAATAGCTCTGGAATATTTTGAACTTCAACCTCGAATAATTTGGTCTGCAATCCATTAAGTATGGTCGTTGAGAAAATACTTAACTATATACCTATATCTATTAGGCCAGTGGCGATCTCTGCTTTTTTGAAAGGGGGATATGAATTTTTTACTGTTCTCAGATCACGTCATATAGCGGTAAATATACTTTCATTGCTTTATCATATTATATTTTATACGACAAAAATAATCCAAAGGGGAGATATGACACCTTATGACTTAACCAAAAACCATTGTAAACCATTTGTTTAAATATAAAAATGAATACTTTTTGTCTATTTATATGTATTTCATACATACATTATTATAAAAAAACAATAATTAAAATCGTTTGTTTATTTTGAGCTTTAATTTAAATTGTTTTCATATAATATTAAATGAAGCATCTACGACCTACGTTTATAAAAATATACTTAGCTATTTACTTATTTATCAGCATTTTTATGTAATTATTGAGTTATTGAATATTTGCCCTCAACTCCTTCGGCCTTCATCTACAAAACAGTCAAAGGACGCCTTTCTACTATAAAATATAAATCATATAAATACCAAGCTAATAACTGCTATAACGCATTTTACAATACTTTACGCATTTTAGGTACTAGTTACTACTAATATACGCATTTACTCATGTAATACCAATCTTTAAATTTAACATATTATTTTTTCATTCGTATTTCATTATAATTCATAAGTATACCCCGGGGCCCCACAAGGGAGGAGTCGGGGAGAGGTGGTTGTTGGACCTGGAATACAGATACCCGGTTACTAAGTATAATTCCGATTTAGTAAAAATAAATTTTCCAATAGTAGGTAAAATACATCGAGCTTACAAATATATTATTGTATATTGTATTATTGTAGTAGGTATTATTATAATACTAAAGCTGTTACAGTTATAACAATCAAAATATAATGTCATGTTCACACTTTTGTATGCCAACGACCATACCACGTTGAATACACCAGTTCTCGTCCGATCACTGAAGTTAAGCAACGTCGGGCGTAGTTAGTACTTGGATGGGTGACCGCTTGGGAACACTACGTGTCGTTGGCATTCTTTTTGCTTTATTCAAACACCTTCACCTAAAGTTTAATTTTCTATACCGATTGAAACATTGGAAAATGACCTTTTTCCGTCCAGTGAATAGTAAAATTTTTTTTTCCGATTACTAGGTTAGGTTAGGTTAGCGTTACCGTCTAATTTAGTAGTCCGAAAGACTGAAACTCAAATTACCAACAGGCCATATTATATAATGGACAAATGTAAACTGGGCCCGCGATTACTATTTTTTCCGTAAGCTTGGTCGGAAATTTCAGCTAATGAAAAAAGTCGACCAGATAATTTTCACCGAAAAATTAATATAATCAAAATAATATACAACGTATGTATTGTATTATATATTAAAGGTACACATAAACACATTAAATATTAATATAATTTAATTCTGCTATAATAAATATGCATACTTTTTAATAATACAAAAATGAAAATAAAACGAAATATTCTTTGGAGGATAATGAGAATCGCCTCATCGTGGTATACTGTGGTAGGTAATGCTATAGATGAATCACTGCAAAAATATCATAAAATAATTATTAATACAATATTATGAGAAGATAAAATATAGGCATATTATTTTTATTCGGTCCGAGGTTTGATGTCAATCATTTTTACCCGAAAAAGAATTGGGCTGAGTTTACAAGAGATCTTTTGAAGATTTTTTTTTCTTGGGATGGAGTCATCAATCATCCATATATTTTATATAGTTCGTAGGTTGCGGGAAAAACAAATTTTTTTTTTCTCTTCTTAATACTAAATCAAAATTAAACAAAAGGTGGGCAAGTGGGTGTCGCTCTGCTGTACAGTAGGTTACAAGTGGGTCACTGTATAATGGATGGTATTAAATTTGAATTCAATGATATAATATCATTGTATAAGAAAAACGATTCCGAGCGGTGACGGTATGTCAGTCTATGTATAAGACATATTATATACATATCTATGGTATTAAACAAAAAATTGACCTATAATAGGTACCTATAATAAATTCCAAACTAATCATATCACAATATCCATTAGATACTTATAACGCGTTATACATCAACAAAAACCGTGATACTATCATAGATATATAATAGTACACTTTAGAAGTTTCAAGTACCCACGAATAATATTATTCAATCACAACAAAATAACTAAAATCGTACTTCTTGGTTTAAATATGAAATTTTGTCTAAATTTGAAATTAAAATGTCTGTAAAAAATAAGTGTGTTTATATATTTTTTAGATTTTTTGGTTACAGTATGAATTATTTAAGAGAATCTTTGTTTTAAATTTTCAACTCTTAGTTATAAAAACTGAACATTTTATAATTTTTTAATTCCAACGATTGATAATTTTCGAGATTTTGATAAATTTTGTCAAAATTCCAACTTTAAATGCTTATAAAAAAAAATCGTGCCTATGTATTTTTAATATTTTTCAACTGATATTGTAACAATATATCGGGAGCCTTGTATTAAATTTTTACACTTTTGGCCCAACAGATAAAACTTTATTGATATTTATAGAAAAAAAAACTAAAAAAAATTGAAAGCTGTAAATGTCCATAAACAGCTCAAAAAGAGTCAAAATATTTTCAAAATTGTATGGTGTATAGAAAATGCTAATTTAAACATTCAGTGAAATTTTCATGTATCTACAGTTGTTCGTTTTTGAATTGCAACAAAATAAAGAAATCGCTACATGAGTAATCGAGTGAATATCCAATGTTGTAAAAATTTGAATTTCAAACGCTCATAAAAATTTAACTTGACTGTCCGGTAGAGATTTTTTTATTGATAAAGGTAGATAATCTTATAAGGAATCTTGTGTTTCATTTTCAAATCTTAGATTTAAAAAGAAAAATTTTTACGAATTCTTAACTCAAAATAATTTGCTAATTTTCGTGATTTTTCCATATTTTGTCAATTTTTGAACTTTAAATGCTTATAAAAAAAAATTGTGACTAAGGATTTTTAATATTTTTCATCTGCCTTTGAAACAACATATTAGGAGCCTTCTATTAAATTTTCAAGCTTTCGCAACCAACAAATAAAATTTTATTGATATTTCTAGAAAAAAAACTAAAATAAAATGAAAAATGAAAATGTCCCTAAACAGTTCAAAATAAATCAAAATATTTTGAAAATGTTATCGTGTATAGAAAATGCAAATATAAACAACCAGTGAAAATTTCATGTATCTACGGTCATTTGTTTTAAAGTTACACCAATAACCAAATTCGATTTTTTGGAAAATCGATTTTGCGTAAAAATTCCCGTTTTTCCTTAATTTTTATGTTGTTTTTCCCGGCGCTTGTGAAAACTACTGGAAAATGTTTACTTTTGACCCCCCAAAGTACCAACTAGATTCACTTTCCTATCAGAAAAGGTACTATTGAAGAAAATCGAAGCACTTTTACTGTCCCAAAACGTGATGACAGACACAAAAATATAAATAAAAATATAAAAATATAAAAATATAAAAACATACATCATTGTAAAACCAATACATTCATCGCTCCGCTCAGAATCTAAAATATAAAAACATACATCATTGTAAAACCAATACATTCATCGCTCCGCTCAGAATCTAAAATAAATGAAGACAAAGTGTATTTCTTCTATTTATTGTAATTATTATAATTTAAGTTTACCAGTACACTTAGACGCAATTTCAGTTTTTAACTTGGAAGGGCTTTATACATATATTTCAACGAAACAGACCAGTGGGGGCTCTGCAACCCACCCTTCCTGTTCATTTATCTTTAGGTTTTTAAATATATATTAGTTTAAATTTTTCTCACTTACTTTCTTACATTTAATATAATTTATAAATGAATTATAATACATCTGTCTATTACTAAAATGAAAAATATTTTTAATCAAAATAAAAAAAGTCCAAGGTTTATCCCACCGCTCTCGTATCCTGCTCCTCCCATGAGGACACCAGATTTAGCGGTTGAATTCCGTGAGTTTTTATAATCTATAATCCACATACTAAAAAGCCTATATAGTCAATATATTAGAAGGGTTATGGGGAAAAAACGACAATAGTCAATATTCCTAAAATGTTCAGTATTGCAGTTTTAAGGTGGGATTCTGGCCTTTTTTCCCGTTATGGTAATATTTAAACCTGTATTATATCATTGACCTTGATCTTTTTACCATAACTCGATTCAAGTGTCAATTCGTTATGAAACTAACCAAAAGGTTCTATAATTATTTGATTTTTTCTTTCTTTTGACTACGATCATTTTTCCCCGCAACAATTAATTTACTATAAGTCCTGGACCATAACCTTCTTCGCAATAAACAAGCTACCTATCCATAACGAAAAATTAATTTTTCAAATCGTAGCTTGTTAGTTCCTGAGATTAGCGTGTTCGAAGTTACAAACTTACAAACTCTTCAGCTTTATTAATATAATATATAATTATTAATCATTATATTACTAAATAGGTACAATAGCTTAACAAATATTTGTATACCTATAGTTACTTTTATAGCCTAAAAACTCGATGAAGGTTACAAAGCCACACGATTATTAAATACAGATTACAGGGACCACACCTATATTTTATTGTTATACACAAATATTAATTTTTTTTATCATTAAATCTTCGACGACTATTGTTAGACAAGCGTATTTATATTTTTAGTAAACAATTTTTTTGTGTGGACGAAGGTTACTATTGTCATAGTTATAACTATTATAAGGCCTAACACACGTAACATTTGTCACAGCATTTTTACCTACATAGTTGTATCGATGCTACTATAAACTATACTACCTATAATAGTATAAATTACATGGTTACTATAGCCATATGTAAGGAAAAGTGTTGAATGTTTTCGATTTTTTTCGTCAGTTTTGTAGTCATCATAACCTATTAGTAATAAATTAATAATTAAGTAATAAATAATAATAAATTGATAATAGAGTAGTCTAAATAGCTTATTACGTGATTTATCGTAGGTATATTCCTTTAGAAATTGACAAGGAAACAAACCTTATAGTCCTTATACGCATACGTTACTTAGGTAATAAATATTTTGTTATTGCACATGACAAGACGATTTGTGTTAGAGGAAGCTAAACCAGGAAAATTTACCAGAGAAACGTCGTCGTCAGTTAAGCCGAGACCGAAGGAACCTATATACCTGTATAACCAGGTAAGATAATAATATTATTTATTTCAAAACTTAAACCTTTGGTCTGAGCCCTAAAATTAAGATATTTTACTACTGCACACCTAATTCCACACATGGTACTTTAATTTTTGAAAGAAAGGAACTTATTTTGACGCCTCAAACTGCGGTCTGCGGATACCATTTAAATGGCTATCGTTACGTTGATAGAATTTTCAACTTTTAATGATTGTAACAATATTTTAGTTTTTCACAATTAATGTTGATTGGCTTACTTTGATAGTACTCGCTATTGATAAGATAAATTGTCTCCAAGAATTACATCCACAGCAAAATATTATCATTTTGTGTTACAATAAACGTTTTCAGATTCTCATAATCATACTCTAATTATTTAGTATTTACATCATAATACATCTGCAAATTTAAAAACTTAAAATTGTTTCCCGGTTCTTATTGTCTTCTAAAACTTGATAAGTACTATTTTGGATGATATGAGGAACACATTATTTTTGGTTTGATTTTAGTACAATTTTTACTATAATTTATTTTTTATATATTGTTATCTTTATGAAGCCCAAATTAAAATCAAGGCTGATTTACTATTTTATTATAACACCTAATATATTGTATAATATTCATAATCTTTTTTTATAAATACAAATTAAGTTCCTATTCAACCATTTTATTAAATTTAATTCATTCATAATTTTTTAAACCGGAGTTCCTTTTCACACCATTGCCAGGTCAATAGGAACACGCTTTTGAAAAAATCTATAAAAACAACTGTTGAACTTAAATGTAAATATGGGTAACTCAATGTTTGTAGGTTTTCAGATAAAAATTGCGAATACAATCTTAAAAAAGTTTCCATTTTACGGTATATTTAAGAATTCCAAAATTCAGAATTTGAATGTTAAAAAAAATGGGGATGCTCATGCTTAGAAAAATCACCACGTCCATACTAACCGTAACTAATAATTTTCAATCAGGGGTCAACTGTTTTTATCTAATTATTCTTCCTACTACGATTAAAATATATACTTTATTTAAGTGTCTCAATTCAGTTTAAAGAAATACATTTATAACAATGCACACGATTAATAATTTGTAGGGTAACTTAAAAAATAAGAATAACACATTAATATATTACAGTATTTTTAATTATCAGATTAATTAGTTTTTACATAATGACGCAGCATTTCAGAGTACATCTTATAAAATGACATTTTATACGTCATATATGATAAAATAATTAAGACATAATTATTCCACTAACTGAGACCTATTTCTATATTTTTAGGATCAAATTAATTATTTTCTATATCACTTAGCAATTTTTTATTTAAAATGGTAGCACACATTTATTTTGCAGTTTTATAAAATAAATATTGTTATTATTTTTTGACATGTACACAATGTACAACCAATAAAAGATATTTATTAGCTTAAGACGTGTGTACATTGTTGGGATTAATACATTTTTATTGAATTTTTCTTATTTTCGATCTATTGAGAGACAATTAAACAGTTTTTTAACAATTGGTTAATAAGTACTGTTTTTAACTATATGTATTGAAATTAAGGTTATCACCTAATCAACACAATGGAATCACAGTACTATATCTGTTGCACAAAACAATTAATGAATGAACCTTACCTACTTAGAAATAGATAATATAATGTAAATACTATAAGTACACTAACATTTTTTAATTACAGTTTCCCACATGATTTTTATAATGGAAAAACAATGCACTCAACACCATTAAATATATAACAATATTAGTCAATAGGATTTGAAATAATAAAATACATACAATTTCATTGAAAAAAAAAAGTATAATAATAATAACCATTAGTATATTGCATTGATTGATGATTCGATGGTATTGCCTGTTTATATAATTAATGTTATAAAAGTGAACAGCTGTTATAACTATTTTGTCTTAAAGAAAAAAATGACAGTGTATGCTTATAGCTTGTAACAATAAAATGTAAAAATGTTCACATATTTAATGATATATATATATATATTATGTATAGCTACATTCAATATTAACCGTTTGAGTTATAAAATAATTGTTAAACTTACCTATTTAATTTATATATAGAAATAGGAAACTAAAACAAAATCTATAAAAAAAGAAAGAAAAAAAAACTTTAACACATTCTCAACAGAGTAAATATATTATAAGTATAAACAAACAAATAGCGTTGTTTAAAAGTTAAGCTAGCTTGCTTCGCTATATTATAATATAGCTAGAGGAATAAAAATGAAGGTAAAATTTGAGGAGGGCAGAATAATAAAATGAGCGAAAGCTGAACCAGGCTGAAAATAAAAAATGAAATAACTCACAAACCTTTACACGGTTACATTATACGGTGAAATAGTAATGTCGAAAGACGATCTACACATATTTTCCCGTGATACAATTTAAATAATTTAAAAAACGGGAGCAATGAGTATTTTAATAATAGTATAAATGTTTAATTTTACTGGGACGACATGGTCTAAATATATATAAATATATATTAAAAAAAAAAAAAAAAATGTTGGCCTAAAATTGTAATCATCGACCACAAGAATATTGATGGACTTTTATACGAAAAAAAATAAGGGAGTTTATTCCTTCTTTTTTGTCTCTGGATTCTTTTTTCCAATTGGAATAGCAGCTCGAACTCTGAAATAAAATTATTAAAATAATTAAAATACCATATATATTACTGCTATTAAAATTATGCCTACACGTGTATTTGTGGACTAAAAAAATATAAATCAATTAATGTATGAACCAGCAGAATACATTTTATTAAGTATTGGCCAATTATCAACTTTAAACGCAAGAATATTACATCTTTGTTCTTTTGTCAGTTTTTTTTTTTTTGAGGGGTATCCCTCCCCCACGATATATTAATATTAAATCAATTGTTAAAATTATGTAAAATATTATAATTTAAAAATACTTATTATTTGTTTTAAAATTAATACATTAATTTATTTATTTATTTGTATGGTAATACATTAATAAAAACTGACCAAAGAACACAGATAATGTCCTTAATAAAATACTTGTTAATACACTAATATTAAAACTAACAAAACCAAATTAAATAGGCTTTGCTGAATTATGTGTTTCTGAAACAGAGACAATTACACGTGTAGTCTTCTGAAGTCGTGATGCATATAATAATAATAAAACCCACTTGTTAGTCAATTCAGCAATCTTGCTTCTAACTACTTCAATATTTTGATCGATTTGAGTCTTATTGTTCTCATAGACTTTGGGTAATGTGAACAAAGCAACAAATCCTGAGAAAAAAAAAATGTAATTAAAAATTTATCTATAAAAAAAAAAAAAAAAAAAAAAAAAACAACTGTAAGTACCAATAATTATGAGTGTAAGGCCGTTGAACAAAGCGCCAACATATGTCAACACCCAGAGAATACCAAAGAATTTGGCTGAGTCGACCAAGTCTTCAGCGAGTAACAAGCGGCGAAGTTCAACCAATACGGCATTAACGTGTACAACAGCTAATTTGCTCACTTCTTCGGCTTTTTCCTGTGGTAGCCTGATGTCCAAGTCAAGATATTCTCTATAAAGTACAAATAAATAAATATAATACAATTGACTAAAATTATTATAGATCGGTATTTCCACTTACTGGAATGGATGACTTTCATTAGTTTTATTGACTGTCTGTAGGGCGGTTTTGTACAAACGTAAAATAATGCATCCAGATTGAATGAACATGGCCAGATAAGCGACTACGCTAATCAGTGACATATATGCAAACGACAGCAGTACAACTAACGTAGCACCAAAAACAATGCCTGATGATATGGGATCTCTCCAATATACCAAAGCTTCAACTGTAAACAAATTCAAAATAAATCATTAGTATATTATTATTATGTATAGTAGTAATAATATTATAATAGATTGAAGTCTTTCACTTTATTGATATAATATAAAAAATTTATATTTTAATAATAATCATGTATTAACAGAGGTTCTGTAGCTATAAAATGTAAAATATGTACATTGTTTATTTTTTTTCAGTCGATAAATTTCCATTAGCCATTTGTGAGTTGTGACACACTGACACCCCTACCTACTGTTTAAACATTAAGTTAACATTAGTGTTTATGTTTATTTGGAATTCAATTTCAATTCTTAAAAATGCATATTATATTCACAAAATAAAATTTAAGAAAAAAATTCACATTACATTCCGATAACAAATTAGGCATAGTACCTAAGTCCTTTTAATCATCATTATTCAATAGTTCATAGGACGTAGTTAGCTATAACACACAAATGTTAAAATGACTGTTTAGTAATACCTGAGCACCGAATGCCAACACTTTTATCCTACTTCGGTCCCACTGAACCTATAGTTTCATACTATATTATACACACAATATTTAAGTAGTAAAAATAAGAACATTTAAAAAAATAGGTAACACTTCAAATAAAAAAATTGAATTTACTTTTTTTAGTATAAGTTCTGTTTTACAATAAGTGTCGAGTGGGTTCCAAAACAGATGTGTTAAATTCAAATTCAATGATAAATTATTGCATACAACAAATGATTCTGGGCAAAGATGGTCTGTCAGTCTATATATTTAAGTATATTGTATGACATTACTGCTGAACAAACATTGCAAAACATTGCATTTGAAAATTTGTTTAAATATCTAATTTCGATCAAACATTATGAATAAAAAGAATCGATGTTTATATATTTTTTGGTTGATATATGAACTACTTATGAGAAACCACGTATTAAATTTTCAAATCTTAAGGCTGTTTCACAGCAGCGAGTGCTATCATATGCACGTGTACCGTACTCTAGGCTGTGAATCTGGCCATAAATATAAAAAGAAAAATTTCTATGAATTTCTAACAAAATAATTTGAAAATTTTCAAGATTTGTCAAAATTTTGTTTTAAGTTTAAAAGCTTATAAAAAAATACTGCAACTATGTATTTTCGATATTTTTATTTGATATAATATGAACAACTTATGGGGAACTTTGTTTTAACTAAGTATTAAAACTTTTTGACCGGGTATAAAAACATTAGCATAGACATTTAAAGAAAAAAAAAATCGAAAATTTCAAATCTCCATAAAATATCATGAGTCAAAATATTTTAAAAATATTATCATATTTTGAAAATGCAATATAAGCATTTTGTGGAAATCTATATCTCGATCTATAGTATCTACAGTTATTCATTTTTGTAGTTCTACCAAAAAAATAAAATCAATTTAGTCGAAAAATAGTTTTGCGTAAAAATTTCGGTCTCTCTTCAAGTTTTTTTGTTTTTCCCGACGTACTATATTATTTTAATTTTGACCTCTTAAAAGTGCCTACTAGATTTAGTTTTCCTTCAGAAACCAACCACAAACTTGAAAATCAAAGCATTATTTTGACAATTTTTTATACATCAGAAAATACACACATCATGGCGAAATTAACACATTCATCGCTCCATTTAGAATCTAAAAGGTCGGTTATTGCTTTTGACCTCAAACTATTTACAAATAGTAAATGCGTTATCTTAAAATTGTTTAATGAATTAATTAACTTGGACAGGTACATGGTAGTCTATAGAAGATACCCTAGTATAAACCGGTTAAATCGATAGGTACCTAATAATGGAATTATTTTATACCTGAGACATCAAACCTAGGTCTAAACGAATATTAAAACATATTTTCTACGTGTGTAAAATGTAAATACGAATTAAATAACGATACTCGTCACACCAGAAGAATTAAATTAAAATATTGGCGCCTACCGACCCAAATTTTACAAACTGTTAAATCCGAAAAGGTCGACTTGGGATTGGGTTGGTGTTAGGAATGTGGTTTGTTTGGACGGGTCGGCCTGGATCCGCAGACGTCGACAAAATTCGTCGGTTCCACATCACCACCGCCACCACCACCACCACCTAGGCACCACCACTACCAACCACGGACGGGAGAGACGACGGCGTTTCGGTCGAGCAATTACCCGCTTAACTGTAAAAGCTAAAAATCGCCGATCCAAAAACGCTGGCCATATAAACCTCGAGCGAACTCGTTTTGGATGGTCGGAGGGGGAGAAAGCCAGAGGGGAGAACGACGGACTTGTTCAACAAATAGAAACGGCCACGTTTCCGAAATTGTAAAAAAAATCCAATACACGGACCTGACAAAAAAAAATAGAATATTTTCGTCGTCGTCGCTGAGTTAGTAATATGACACCCGAGAGTAAGATTCCTGAAAACCGAAAACAGCGTTCGGGCCCGTGCGGACAATTAAAAATTATCCATATGCAAGCGCAAGTCCCTCAGACACCGTCGTCAACCGGACACATACCTGGTCCCCTTTCGGGCAACGCGACGGCAGGCGCCATATAGCTGCTGTTGGACCTGCTGTTGTTGTACTTCTTGGGCGCCATTGCGTTACAGTGGTCGGCGGCGGAAGAGGAACGGTGCGATAAGAGTGAAATACGCGAAGTCTACACAACAACCGACTCTCGGTATTACACGACACTGACAAGACACCGAACACACTAATGCGAGCACACGTCTGAACAAACACACACTGTACACGGAGGACGACGGATGATCTTTGTCGGAGGCCCAGCACGGCAGACACGCACCACAGTGGCAGCAACTACGGGCAAGACGGCGGATTCCACGTTGCAGCAACCCCCTTCCCCCCTCCCACCAAAACAATGTCCATGACAGCTGTGCAGTGTGCACCGCCGCCGCAGCTCCATCGTCCCACCTACGTCGTCGTCGTCTGTACAACAATAATAACCGCCGCCGTCGCCGTCGACGACGGCAGGTTCCACATGTGCGTGTCGAATACGCCACGACGTCGACGAACACCAGTCCGAGTACGACCGACATCCGCCGCCGATACCTCGACAATAAAATATAATATTGTTATTTACAGGCCGACGTGTGATTTTTAAAGTTTAAACACGCAGGTGTTTATTACATTACGGCGATGTTCAGTCTTCGTCAAACGACGTGTGAAAACTGATTTAAATCGGTCGCGACACGTTTGAAACGAATACAATTTTCAAGTACCTACTACGAAAAAAAGGCGTCATAATTGTCACGTAATGTTTACGGCCGCGTTCGTATAATAGGATTAAATTATTAAAACGATAAACACTCAACAGTAGTTTTGTAGATAAAACATTTGACATTGAACCGAATTGTTTTATTATTATTTATTAGCATATTATTATACATTTTACACAGCCGACACGTAACCGCTCAACCCCGAACCTTGTTATGATTTACACTATTTATTTGAGCATCGTTGTGCACACACAGTAAAGACACGTCGAAGATTATCGTCGTTTGATTGATTTAGAGTTTATTAAGAAGAAAATAACAGTGGGTAAACTGGACCAGCATAGTCTTCTTAATATCATCCCACATTAAGACATTGATTCTTCAATATTGTACTTAAGAGTTAAGAGGTCGTGGTACCCGCATGTATTGTCTCCGTCATACAAGATCGCAACATAGAACATTTTACACTCTGCAGATCACGTTTAGCTCTGTTGGTTTAAAAATTAGAGTAAATTGCCCTCCTATGAAATATAAAAGTAGGATTATTATCCAGGCAATCACAAAGGCTTTTTATTATATTTTTATTTCAAAGCGAGTATTTCACTATTTTAAAATGTACAAAAAATTTACAATTTCAAAATACTATAAATATAATGAAAGCCTATGATGTTGCCTAGATAATAATCTTATCTTTAAATTTAAAAGAGGTTAGTTCACTCTAATGCTTAAACTAACAGAGATAAACGTGATCTGCTGAGCGTAAAATTTGCTATGTTACGCACTGGTAAGACGGAGACAACATATTCGGGTACCACGTCCTCTTAAACTAAATTTAATTTATAACTTAATCGATAGAACACAAATGTCTACTAAATAACCCAAAATAAGTGTGTTTTGAACTTATAAATACTTAATGTTAATACACAAACATAACTTGAGGCATACTATATAGGTAAATAATAAATATTACTCAAGGCCAAAATATAACAAAATTAGTAGTGCATTACGATCTAAAAACCATGATAAAATAAGTTTAAAGTGTTATTAAATACCTGTGTATAGTAAATACTAATTTTTATAATAAAATAGGTATAGATTAAATATTAAGTTTTAATATTTCATCACAGAAATCACGGCCATGGAATAAACATCTTTGCATGTATATACACACATTTAGTAATATTGTTAAAAATAGAAATTAGGGTCACCCTCTGGAATGAGTCAAGCTAAAATTAATAATGGCAACCAAATCTAGCTCATCGAAGCATCAAACATTACCTGTGACCTGCCTGAAATGTATTTTATAATACGATATTTTACATATTGTGTTGACGTGTTGTTACTATTAATATTAAAAGATAATTTACCTATAATCAAACTGTAAGTTGTAAGAACGTAATCTACATCTGTAAGCAATTTTTAATTGTGATATTTTACACGCACAATTCACATAAAAATTAAAATTTCTAAAATAGAGAATTTAGTGATACAGGTAATGTTCTTAACTATAAGTTTGATAATTTGCAAATTCACTCTAAATAGTAAAAGTAACTACATTCTGCGTATGTAAATTTGGTATGTTGCGCAAAGGTCAGAGAGAGAAGACAAATAGTGCGCTGACATCCTCTTAAGAAATAGGATTTCGTACAACATACTAATCTATGATTTGTTAAAGTTAAAATATCGTTGTTCAGTACAAGTAACATACTAACAACTACAATGAATGAATCGCTTTGTTTTAAATTCTGCAGCTCAGAGATAACTGTTAAGTGTAATGGTTTTAGAATGGGTTTTATTAATTGTCCGTGAACTACTAATCTTTTGGAACAAAAAATATCTTTAACGGAGGTTTCTGGTAGCAAATTGGATTTAATTGGTACTTGAAATTGAAGGGGGTAGAATAATTACGAATAACTGAAAAAATTAAAGGTTTTGTAAGTTTGCAGAAAAACAAATTAAAAAGTTTAAAATTATTTCTATTTTTGTAAATTAGGTAAAATGTTAGTATAATATTATACTAACATATTATATTATTATTTAGTATATTTTAATATAGGCACTAGCCAATATTCGTTCTTCTAGTCATTAACGTAGAACCATAAATGTTAGCTAAATCAATACTGTCAGTTTTTCATCGTACCAATATAATCAAACGTCAAACATCGTAACATAATCAATTAATGTCAGTGATATTGTCTAAACCATGTGTATCCCACGATGTGACCGGGCTTTACCTAAGATCCGGATATCTATATATTTAACATTTATTGTATTCCAATTATAATGAGAAAATGCTTAAAACCATATAAAAACGTAGTTTATTTTTAAAAACATTAATTAATAAAATTTTTCATTGAGAACATGGTAAACAAAAATCTATAGCCTATGATATCAACTTACAAGTATATTCATTGTTCACTCAGGGCACGGCAGATCACGTTGTAGCTCTGTTGGTTTAAAAATTAGAGTGAATTGACCTCTTATAAAATTTGTATTTTAAGGCATGTTATGATTATTTTAAAATGCACTAACAATTTCAAAATATTTATAACTTGCTTTAAAATTAAAATATAAAAAGACCCTATGACATTTACTAAATAACATCCTTTCTTCTAAATTTTATAAGAGGTCAATTCACTCTAATTTTTAAACTAAAAGAGCTAACCGTAATCTACCGAGGGGACAATTTGCGATGTTATGTGTTTGGAAAACAGAGGGAACGTAACGGGGTAGCGTCCTCTTCAATGATAAAATATTAAAATCAGATATATTTGGCGCACTCTATGTGACAAAATATACAACACTCCTGGGTATAAACAAACCGTTAATATTGACGACAGACACAAATACACAATTTCGAATTCGAATAGCTGTTATAATTTCCATTAATATTTTATTGAATAGACTAGTCTAGTAATCTACAATGTACTTAATTTATAAGTTATAACCATCAGTTGGACCGTTAGTCTTAAGTAACTCGTAAAGACACTTAGACATGTCCATCTAAAGACGCAACTAGAAAAATATTGTAGTCATAATAATATAATATTATGCTGTTGCGTAACCGCAGCGAGCATGAAAAGTGGGTGGGGAGATACGATCCCAGATGTTGGAATGGTTAGCGGTTGAACGATGGAAGTCGTAACTAGTAAGAACTAAGAGAAAGATTGTTCATAAATGGATTGACAAAAATTAAGATAAAAAGAAATATTGTATTCTTAAAATGAGGTACCTACTAACAAAATGAATAAAAATGTTAGGACTTTCCCACTAAGGGTCACTACGTTTCTGTCACTGCGGCCACTCCACCACCTATTATATTTTCTAATATTTATCACCATTATACTCTTATATTAAGTCGGAGTGTGAAATATGAATATTGAATACGCATGCCGTGTTATGAGGTATGATCAAAAAGTCTATAAAAACACACCTGTTGATTGTTGAACCTTATATTATCATATATTAAATATTAAAATATATTATCAAGTATGAATCATTATAAAACTAAATGGCGTATCATTTATTACGGTCGTTCACCGTGTTTTCTTTAATACGTTTTATTATTAATATAAATTGTTTTTTTTTTTAAGTCAATCACATACATAATTATATTATATAAGACATATATAATGCAACGGGTCCAGACTCCTGAACAGTTTGAAACGTAATCATTATTTCTAAACGTGTGGTATTATTTAAGGTTATGTATACATTTGAACTAGATAATACTTGTAATTTATAATTTGAAATAGTTTTTTTAAAAATAAAATATCATAATCTTTATAATCTACTGATGTTGTGAGTTTGTGATGAGATAACAAGAAAACAACGTGGATAGCCAAAACATTTTAGCAATTTTTATTTACGGATATTTCGAAGCCGTGCATATAATATTATTATAAATAATGAATATTGACGAATGATATTATTATTTATTATACGTAATAGTGTAAAACATATTAATAAACGGATTAATTGAAGCTTGATTCATTATGTAATAACGATGATGTTAAAAATAAACTGTAATCAATAGGTACATATTTCATGTAATTCGTACGGTAATTTGTGCAAATATAACTGTTCAAATCGATGCAAACCAAATTACTTCCATTAATTGCGTTTGGACAGGCAACGAATCCGAAGGTTATATAATAATTATTATGAATAAAAATAAATTACTATATAATAATAGTATAATAGAATACTGTTAGTAGTATTTAGCGAAATAGCAACCACCAATGATTTGTATTTTTATCGATTGCAAGGAGATTCACGGATAAACACTCGACAACTCGAGATAAAATGACCCGATAAAAAGACAATTTAAACTCCTTTTAAAACAAATTTCTTGCATTCACATGAA